TGTGTATGCGTGTATGTGTGTGTGTACATACCGTTGCGTGGCTGAGTATTATCTTTGTGTCGGGTGTGGCTCTAGGGCTGTCTTCGTCATCGCGTGCTACCTCAGACGTGTAGCGTCGTAAGCCATTGCGTTTAGGCAGCTGTGTGATAGTGATGAAGAGCCGTGTGGTTAGTCACGGCAGAGGTAAACGTTATGTTCGAGCGATGTTTAATCTAGGCCAGTCACGTGATACAAATAGTTCAAACGGAATTAGTACGCACAAGAAGGCTCAGATCACAGCCAATCCAACCGATGACGGATGAATGTTCATGTTTTAAGTGCGAACCCCCTACACATAGGTTACATTCACACACACACACACACAACTGTTTATGAGCTACGCATGCATATACGTTACATTCATACACTATCAGCTATGCTATGAATGAGCCACACATACATAGGTTACATTCACACACACACACACACAACTGTTTATGAGCTACACGCGCAAATACGCTACATTCACACACTATCAGCTATGCTATGAATGAGTCGCACATACATACGTTACATCCTTAGACTATCAGCTAAGCTATACCTTGCAGGCCGAGGGAATGGGCGTGTCTTGGAGAGCGTCGTCGAAGAACTCCAGCATGGTCTTCCATTGGTAGGGATTGACTGTGATCTCAATAGCTCGCACATGCACCCAGCACGTGGGGGCGGGCAGCATGGGGGACCACGTGCCTATGCAAGCACACCACAGCACCAGAATAAACCAAGGCAACAGGCGGAAACGTTATATACGGTGCAAACAAAACAATGCAACAACAGACAGCAAGTGTACTATATATGCAAGTACCTGTGCACATAAGGAATACAGGTGAGAATGCGTATAGGCTGTGTACAAAGTGTCTGTGCCGATTTAACAGACAAAGATTTTGAAGTAACCTCATAACTCTGCACAAGATTAAAAGGGCATTGGATTAAGTGTCCCAGGCCTATTCAATTACATACTACGCATTCAAACGACATGTACAAGCCATCCATACTCAGAAAGATTAGGAGGTTTTAGCCGAGCCCTCTCTCGAGTGCAGGTGAGGGATACACCCCACTCGTCCGCTACTCCTGGGACTAGAGTAATACAGCAAGATTAATTCTGAGCGTACCATAGGACATCTTAGTAGATTCATAGTCTCCAATGGTATCCACATACCATTGACAAATATATATATATATATATATATACATATTTATAAATATATTCATATATATATATATATATATATATATATATGTATGTATGTATGTATATATATAA